GAAAAAGCCAGTGACATGGCTGGTTCTCTCCCAAGGACAGGGAGAGCCTTACTGTCGGCGCCTTGGAAGAAGCAGGTGGGATGTGTGGGCAGGAGGGATCCTTCGGCTGGAAGAGAGAGTTAGTCTCACGGGAAAAGCAGGAAAGGGCGGAGGCTCTCGCTCTGGAGCAAGCAATATCCTGGAGAGGTTAGAGAACAGATGGATCGAAACTAAAGAGAGATTAGACCATCTGGAAGCAGGACTTCACAAAGCAGCTAGTCAGAAGCACAAAGGCACATGTGGGAGCCAACACCAAAGACGTCCATGGGCTCCTGAGCTCTGCAATAGGGCTGCGATGTTTCTCAAAAAGGACAGGAGGGACCTTCAGGCACCTCAGTCCGAAACGGCCACGCAGACGGCCCAGCGATGGCCTGACCTTGGAGGCAGATAGACTCACTCAGGCCCTTCCTGGCTTTACCTGTAATTTCACAATTCTGGTGATTCTGCTGAGCGTGCCCAGACCTCCCCCGGTCCGTGCAGCTTGGCACCTACCTCTGGGCCAAGCGCCGCTCGCTCAGAGGGGATGTGGCAGCAAAATGACAGCAGCTTTCCCCGGGCGGCCGGAGGAGCAGCAGGGCAGGGGCAGCACGGGTCCGAGGGAGAGCCCGTGCATGAACCAGCGGGGCAGGCAGCAGGGAGCGTTGAAAGGTCCGGGGTTTCACTGTGTGTGGGAGGGCGGATAAGGAGGGTCTTATAAATGTGGAAGCTAGCTTTTTGCTGAAATCTGGCCTTGAGAAGTGTCCATCCACTCTGAACAACCCCTTGCCTTCTCAGATCCCTTCATCAACAGGCGAAGGGCCAATGACTTCATGCAAGCTGGCACGAGACTAGAAGCCATCTCTCAGGAGAGGTATGTTATGGCCTCAGGACACTGAGGATGGGAGTGGGGAGAGGTCTCTCCTTGCCAAGCACAGGCTGGTACCAGGGGTGGCAGCCATGGTGACTTCCGAAAAGCCTCAGCCCCTCTCTCAATGTGAGGTGCCCGTGAAGTCCCCAAGCCTGGGAGAGAAGCCAGAACTCGGATAGCAGCGAGCGAGTCCTTGCGTTTGAGGACATGTCATGTGCTGGGAGGGCTCTGCTTAGTTTGTCTGAAGGAAACATTGACAGAAGGAGAAGGAATTGGTGTGGGATGGCTAGAAAGGAAGCTCAGTTTGAGATCTTGTTCTAGTCCTCAGATCTGATGCAGAATGTGCATGACCTGTTCTAAATCACAGGGTTATCTGGGAGCCTCCTGCCTCATCTATAAAACGCAGACGTAGGCAGTTTCATGCCTCACGCAGGGCTTGTGAAAATAAAGGCTGGAGCACAGAAGTCATCTCTTAGCGAGGCAGCAAGGCAAACCTTCTCCGCAGCGCCAGTGGCCCCTTTGCAGGATGTTTCGGGTCTTTGTTCCACGCGTGGCCTTGGGGAAGAGCAGAAGAGCTGAAGGCAGCAGGCTGGGGGGGCTGTGGAGGGAGGACTCTTCCTCAGGTTGAGGCAGGAGCCACCTCCCTCTCCCCACCACCCTACTTAGCCCTGAAATAAAAGGTTACCTGGGGAGGGAAGACGCTCCCGCCGTACTCACGTTGCTCCCCTGGGTGCGGTGAACACAGAAGCAGGTGTGCTAAGATGATGGCAGCTGGGTGATGGAATCTGGTGATGGAGCCTTAGTCCTGGTGGGGGTTGTGGGGCAGGGAAGGGCTCTAGACAGATATTTAAGATGACAGCACTTACCCCTCATCTCTCCTACTTTTTCAGGATCAGGGAGCGTATTAAGGCACCCCAGGAACGTCAGAGGGAGATGTGCGAGGACTACTACCCCTGCGAACTGTACGCTTTTCGCCATGGCTACGCTGCTGCTTACAGGCACTATTTTGGGAGGAGGAGGACCAAGTAAAGGATGGCCTGTCCTCACTCTGGGGCCTGGAGCCCAGGGTATCCTCCCCCAAAAATGCGATGGCTCTGAAACATATTCAGTTGCTTGTGTCCCTGTATGTTATCCTGCCTGCTGCTTCTCTCCCACGTAGCCATGGATTCCTACACTGTGTGAATTAGCGCTGAGCTGATGTAGCAGAGGTCAGAGAGAGTTCAGGATGTAGGTGTTTACTACACAATAAATTGCTGGTTTGGTACTATCTTCTCATGAGTCACAGTATTTTGGGGTGTGTGTGCAGTTTTCCACAAAGAAGCCGAGTTTGTTTATCACAGAATCTGGTGCAGACTACGGGGAAAAAGCCACTACTTTGCAATCGCATCGAGTTCAAAAGGTTCTGCAACGTTTTTGTTCCAGGGCCTACAAGTGGCTTCTTTTAGAGGTCACCGGCAAATTTCAGTTCCCAGTCTTAAGACATCTTCTGGTGCTCAGAAGGCAGGGTGAGAGGCGCTTTTGGAAAATGAAATCTATAGTATCTTTCCTCAGCTGGGGAAAGAAAATTCAGAAGGCGTCTGCTTAATCTGAAAAACAAAGTTGGGGTGAGAGTGCCCCTTTCATGCCCTTACTTCCACTTGGAATGATTCTGGTAGTGCTAAAAAGTTGCAGAAACCAAAGGTGAAGAGGGGCTCCAGGTGGTGAATAAAAAAATAAAGGAAATCCAGCGTTTGGGGTCAAGCCCATCTTTGTTCACCTAAACCAATTTCATTTTACTGTTAACAACTCATTTGAAACCCAGGCGCAGTCTGACCCTGTGCACAGGCTGCTGAGCATCTCCCAGCCCATTGAGGAGCGAGGGTGACTGCTGTCGGGTTGTCACCAGGACCAGGACACCCCGCAGAGCCTCTCCCCAGGCCACGAGGCACGGCATGCCCGGGAATGCAATGATGCTCCGGGCCGTCAGCAGCCACAGCACCTCGGACACTCCTCGGAGCGGGGTCTGTAGGAGACGTAACACCTTCTGCCTCAGCTCAGCACAGCTGGTTTCAATATTCACATCTCCAGGTTTCCACAGGCACCTGCAAATTACAGAAGTGGGAAAGATTCGTGGCATGCTATCAAAGGCTATGAGGTATAAAGGACCAAATTGTTGACTAATCTGTGAAATTAAGTCTAGAGCCAAATCTACTTGCCACATTAGAAACGCCTATCTTCTTCCAAAATATGCTTCAAGGCTTTGTCAGTTTTAAAAATGAACTTTTGGAAAGAAATTTATTTACTGAAAACTGTACTGATAGGAAACTCCACCCTGTGAGCTGCTAAAGTTTTGTCCAAAGGAAAAAGGGAGAGATAAATGAATTTAAGGAAAAAAAAGCCATATGGATTAGGTATATTATATTTGCACCCACACTTGTTCTGCATGATCCCAAGTAGGTGAATCTTGTCATCACCCACCAGCGCAAAACTTTCATACTCTAAAGTCAACAAGTCTGCAGTGTCTGGGTTTGACCTGACACCGTGACACTACCAAAACAGAAGGCACAGGGCTAGTGCTGCCTGAGTCTGTGTCCAGAAATATCTCGTGATTCCGACCTCCAGTTTACCAATATAAATAACGAATAATACCAGAGATTTGTGGGATTTCGTTAGTGTAAGCAATAACCAAACATGTTTAAGAGACTACATTCTGGTCAGAAAGCTTGGGAAAAGTCAGGAAGAGAAGTAAAGCTGTGTGGATTACTAGAGCTGTATATTTATATTCTTTAAAGTGTTCTTTAGGAAGCATAACTTTCCTAGAATACCTATTATTTTTAGATATTTATTAATTTTTAAACCATTGCTCTTTAAGATACTTTGGTAGAAAGTTCTTAGTATATATATTTGCTCTTTCCTGGACTGTAGAAAAGTTAAACTTTTTTTTTTTTCTTCAAATTCTGGAATTTCTGTAAGCTAAAAGACGCTGTTTCTAAGGATTGGCAAAATCCCTAATGGCTCTGACTGCCCTTGGGAGCCTTTTAGGCTTTAATTCTGTAACCCTTGGACGTGTCCCCTGCATGTGATGCGGAGGAGGACTGGATAGGAGGTGGAGGAAGATGTGATCCATATGTTGTTTGTGGGACATGGCTTTGGGAACTTGGATGGTGATTTGGGGAGTATGGGATCAGTGGTAGCTAGGCTGCAGAAGACCCCATGCAGGACTCTTGACATAGCAAGTAACCACAACCACCCAAGCCCTGACGAATAAAACACTTTTGGAGTTTAAAGGTTTGTTTGATTTTTAGATAAGAGAAGCCAAACTAAAGCCTCCAGACCAGGAAGATTTCCAGGAAGAAAAAAGCGAGAGCCTCCCTCAAACTAGCTACCAAAGTTCCCAACAGTACAAAAATCTCAGCTGTCCGCAGTGGTTTGGTGAAACTGTCTGACGCTCAAATCCACTGTGTGTTTGCCCTATGCAAACTGTTTCATGGGTTTCTTTACCTTCAGGGGAACGGCTCAGGGTGGGCAGGGGGAAAAACGTCAGCACTGGGTTCAGTCTCATTTGATTTTCCCCATGAGAGCGCCCCATCACACGAGAAGAGCTGCTCTACTCCAGGGTGTGCTGGTCTCTCCCCTGGCTTTCCAGCAAGCAGCTGAATGACTTTCATGTTTATAATAAAACTCATTTTTTTATCCAGCTGTTTTTCTTCAACAGTCCCATTCAAAACATCAGATAAAATCTTCTGGAAATGCCACGAGTCCTGAGCTGGATGTCAAAACGGCTGCCAGGACCCTGTATCTCCTGGTCCAAAGGATGGGCTTTGTTTTGGAGCTCAGACAGCAGAACAGAAGCCAGAGCCCCGATCTCCCCAGGCAATCACAGGATATAAACTGCTGCCTGACAGCAAGCTCTGGAGAACTTCAGTAACCTCCAGGAAAGCGGTGAGGTTAGGGAGAGAAGCACAGCCAAAGAGGACATGAGGAGTCTGCTGGCATTGCTGATGGTGACGCTGGCCCTGGCAGGGCTCTGCTGCTGTGAGCAAGGTAAGGGGATGACTGCCCGGGACGGCTCTCGGGGGATGCTCAGCCCCGCAGCTGCTGCCAGCCTCCGGTCCTCGGCCTGGCAGAGAGGCACAGCATCGCGGGGAGGAGGGCGTTGCACCACCCGTCGTTGCACAACTGCGGATCTCCGACTGAGAGAGAGTCACGGATGAGAGAGGGCTTGGGGATAGAGACCCTCATCTCGCCGGGGGCTTTCTTCCACTCCTCAAACCCCACGCCCCAAATGGCACCATTGAATTGCAGCAGAGAATTCGAACGCATTAATATGTTTAAGTATTAAGCCAGTTTAGCGTTTAAGTGAACTGGCAAAGGTATGCAGGATGCTGGCTTTTGAGTAAGAGGGCTGAGCTGCGGGCAGACTTTGTGTGGACCACAGGGAGAGGGATTTTGCGTCTGCCAGCCCTGGAGTGCTGCGGGATCACGGAGATGGGCACCGAGTCAAGCCCTCACCTGCAGGGAAACGTGAGAACTTCTGGAGGAAAAGAAGCCTCCTGCTGAGGTTAAGAAAAGGGACTTGTCCCACTGAAATAAGAGCACATCACATTTGAAGGTGATTTAGCAATGGTGACTTCATGATGAAGAGAGAGTAATGTAGTGGCAGCTCTGTAGTTGATGAAGAGAGAGGGAAGGGGGGAAAGATCAGAAAAGCAAGTGTTTTCCCTTTACAGCAGGAAAAGAGAAGCTGAGCAGCAGAGACCTCTGTCTTTTCCTGTCTTATCTCATTCAGAGTTAAATTTCTTTCAGTCCTTGGCATCGGTATATCATGATTCAATACTGGCAGATATATTTCGTTTGATCAGTGTTTTCCTTCTGTCAGTCTCTTTCTCACTTTTTCATTCTTGAGTATATATCTGCTTTTTTTTAGTCATTATTATGTTCCAGAATACTTAATGGCCTTGGAGTAACTTCTGATTTATTTTTTTTTTAAATCCAAGGAACGTATACATTGCTTCAAAACAGAACTATACACAACCCTTTTCACACAAAGTTTTGTTTAAGCAGAGTTGTTATTTTTTTGGTCTCTAGAGTCCTCTTTCTGCCCATAAATAGACTTGTGCCAAATACCTGGTGACTTGGGTGGAACTGACACTGTTGAAAAAAGTATGGTGAAATAGTGGAAGAAAAAACCTGTGAAATAGGGCTGGGAGAGCCAAGATTAGGAGACCTTCGTTTCTTTTAGAGGACGCTTTCCTGGGGTGTTTGCAGGGAGCATTCAGGATTAAGGTTAAGCCTGAAGACAGAAACACAGCGCGTAAATTCCTCTTGGGAGGGCTGGTGAGCCAGGTACCTCAACCCTCAGCCAGAGCGCTGTGAGGGTAGAGTTGTTCCCAGTTGTTGGCCCTATTTCTGTTCCCTGTCAATGGCTTGTGATTTCTCCCCAGAGTTAAGGAAACCTCCCGTCCAACAATAGAGGAGATGCTCAGCCATCTTCAGGTTCTGTCCAAATTTGGGGTTTTGCTCAAACGATGCCCTAGCTCTGGCTGTCCCTGCTCCTAGCAAGGGTGGGGAGGCAGGAGGAGGAAGGTCTTCCTCCAGCTTCCCCAGTGGTTGTAGGTTTATTGTGCCATTTAACCTGGCTCAGAGGAAGTTGAAATTAAACAAATCCAGGCATAATGGGTGAATTTTGCTGTGGTGGACAAGTCTATCTCTAAACAGTGGGTGTTAACAAAACCCTTTTTGGGAGGAGCAGACCTTCTGGGAAAGGCAGTAGGCAGGGGATTCGGTTACAGAGTGGAGCAGAGGAGGAGGACTCACAAGCAAACTCCTTTCTCTCTGTCTGTCTTCCAGGTCCTCAAGACCCTTCAGGACCTCCCAGTGCTACCAGTGAGTATATCACTGTGACTGACGCTCAGCTCCATCCTCCTGCGTCTGCCTCCTTTCTCCCCTTTGATAGGTTCAAGGGTGAACAAGAACCAGGCTGAGTCCCTCGAGCTGCTCCCCTTTGGCTCCCGCAGCAGTTCAGTCCCTATACAAAGGGACTGCTGTATCCCCAGACCGCTGAGCGGTCAGGCTGGTGTGCAGGATCACAGAGCAGGAAGGTTTGATGCCACACGGCAACAGGCTGCGACATCCCTGCCAAATCCACAGCCTGGAGAGCCTGAAAGCAAGCATCTTCCTTGGCTGCTCCTGAGGGCTGCAGTCCCTCCTCTCAGGTGGCCTGGCACACGGGGATTTGCACACCTTGGGATGTTCACAGCTTGTGCAGCAAGCTGATCCTGGCAGAAATCTGTATGGAAAATCCCTTTCGTTCTCCCCTGTCTCTCCTTTCTCACACCTTAAAGGATAACATTGCTGCTGAGGAGCATGAAAGCTGGTATTTCTCCAGCAAGCCAATACAAACACAGATTGGGAAAGAGAGGAAAAAAAAAAAAAGGGTGTTCAGGGAAAGGTGGTGATTTCTGACAGCTGATTAACTGGCACTTTCTGTGTAGTTGGTATTTTGATCCAGACTAAAGCCCAGCTTGCTAGAGAGGGGTCATCTCTCACCTGCCAAACAGAAACACAGTCAAGCCCCCGCCGACGATGCTGGAAGGGCAGAAACCTCACCGTCTCCCCACAGGCAGAGGTCTTTTAGAAACTTCTTTCCCTCCCGTGACAGCGACACTTTGCCAGTTTCCCTGCTGAAATGGGCACCGCTGTGCAGCTCCGCCGGCGTGGGTCCGTCCCGCGGAGCGCGGCGGGGATGGGGCTGGGGAGCCGAGGGGCTCTACCTGCTGCTGCTCGTGGGGTGCTCCGCAGCACCCCGGGGTTTGCACGACCGCAAATCTGAGGGAGCAAACAAGCAACTGTGCTGACAGGGTGTGTTAGTGGAGACCAGGAGCCAACGCTGTCACGGCAGAAAGACCTCTCCTGTTCTCCAAGTCCTGAACACCAGGATCTTTGCACCTCCTGGGTGTATTTCTCCCTGGGTGATGTTTACTGTCATTATTTTATACCCTTCAGCTTTCATGGAACTCTGCACATGTCAGCATTGGTATTTCCATGTGCTGCCTGTTGCTTATGTCTCCCTGGAGGCCTTTTAAGGCCCAGTGGCTGATATCCCACATCGCTCTCAGCCTGAGCCAAAATATCAAAAGGAAGCCAAGACTCTGAAGTTAAGCGAGCCAGGGAGAGAGGTTGCCATTCCCTTATTTTTCTCCTTGTTCATATTTTATGCTGTCATGACTTCACCTTCTGCACATTTGCTGTGGACTCCGACCACGCTGTGTGATAAGGGAAGAAAAGACCCTTGCTCCGTGGAGATGTGGAGGTTGGAGTGAGGAGGGAGCCCAGCTGTTGGGCTTTGAGTAGTGGACAGTGGGGTGGGGAGAGATGAGCGGGCAGTCAGGACGGTTCGGGGCAGTCATCTGCTTGTGAAGAGAACGGACTGTCCCTTTTCAGAGGTTAGACTGGTCTCTGATTTCCCTAGACCATGGCCATGCACCTCTAACCCGCTGCATTCCCTCTCGGTAGGCATCAAGATTAAAAAAGAAGTTGCCAATGCCTTTGTGAAGAGGCAGAAGAGATCCAGCGTGTATGAATGGTAACTGCTCGGGAGTCGGGCTGGGAGCTGGACTTTGGACCTGTTCTGAACAGGGGGTGGGAAGGCAACAGGACATGACAAGGCATTAATTTGTCGTAGATCTACGTTATTACCTTCAGGTGTTGAAGCAAAAAGGCTGTAGGAGACACTTATTGATAGATAGATGGTTCTTTTTTTCATAAATAACCCTTTGAGAGCTCATGGCTGGACTCTGATACTCCTCCCAGGGAGGAGGACAGTACCGGGTGTCTGGGCCAGCCACGGGGACAGCAGCATACAGGTCAGAAGCTGCTCTGACCTACAGGGTCATCAGAACCAACTTCCAGGAAAATGAGCATCGCAGAACCTTGGTCAGTGCCTCCGGCTCCCTACAAAGGAAGGACAGCTCTGTTGCAGGGATAAGGCTAGATCAGGTTGACTGTTCTTGCTGAAACTGGAGATCCTACGTCTATTTGTGTAGAAACCCTAGACACAGAGATTTGGAGAAATCCTAGCTATAAATATTCGGAGAAATTTGAGGCAATGCAAGAATGTTCTTCCCATATTTGCTGGAAGGGGTTGTTAAGCCACTCTTTCATGTAAACCTGTGCAAAAAGAATTTTTATTCAATCCGTCTTTGGACTGGAAGGTTAACGCTGGTTTTAGATAATAGAAGATTGGGAGGCCCCATCTGTAGAGGACAGGATCAGAGTATTGTAGCAGAGGGACCGGCTGATGTTGAAACCTGCAGTGATTAAAACCAAGATGTAATGCAGTAGCAGCAAGGGCACTGTCTGTACTGACCGTCCCCTCATAGGTGGGGCATCGTAAAAATAGCTTCTGCGATAAGCATTAATCAGGAAGGACTGAGGTAGACAGACATCCTGGCGTATTATTTGATCATGAGGTAAGGTTGGTCTGGAAATACGGATGCAACAAATGGAATTCAAGGATGCTGCAGGGCATTTCCAATACAGAAATAAAGTAAAAATTGATGAGATACTGGTGGGACTCCTGTAGCAGTGTGTACAGTCTTCAGGAAAGATTAACCAAACCTAGAAGAGGAGTTGAGAAGGGCATCCAGAGTGCATAGCTGAGACTAAAAGATTTGGGCTTAGCCTGGCAAAATAAAAGCTGAGTGGGGATAGTGTTGCTCTCTATAGCAGAAGTGAGGATGATGAGAGGAAGCTCCTTAAGCTAAAGGGAAATAGTTAAGCTAAGGGAAAGTGAACAGAAACTGGGCACAACTGAAGGTAAGCAAGCAATAATAAAATAAATATGTAATAAAACAAATAATAACAACAAAAAAAAGATTCCTGGGTAGTTAGGCAATGGGGTTGGGGACAAAAAAAACCCCAAACCCTAGCTGCTTCTGTGGTCTCCTTTGCTGATAAAACCTCAAAAGCAATTGCTTTAAGCTGGGTTTGATTCCAGTTTTCCCCAGCATTGATCAAGTAGTCTATCCCCACGTAAGCAGAGGTTTAACTCACTGTGAGAAGTCCCTGTTGGGGCACCCTGGGGAATCGCTCTTCTCGTGTCAGCGTCAGGGCTGCGTCAACCCTCTCCAACGCATCGGCTGAAGCTGCAGAACGGCATCTCTCTCTCTTTGTCTACTCCAGGTACTCTGAGTACTACAAAAGTCCAATGGAGCGGGTGCGTGAGCATTGTGAAAACTACCCTCTCTGTGACTATCCCTCTGACCAAACAGGATTTTCCATGGCCTACAACCGTTTCTTGAGGAGATACTAAGGATGGGACGGTCACTTCGTTCGTTTGGCTTGGGATGACTCTGAAGCCCCCAGGAGAAAGAAGGTTGTGGGTGGGAAGGAGGGAAGAAAAACATCTAGACGGGGGTCTTCTTCTGTTGTCTCCCTAACCAGCTGGAACACCAAGGCAATAATTATCCCACTTGTTCAGCTTGCGTTAGCTTTCTTCCTTTCATCAAAAAAGTCTCTCTTCAGTTGTCTTTGGTGGTATTTTGAGCTTCACCAGAAGATTCTGTCTTACCTCCTTCTGTCTGAATCCCCAGGACACAAGAGGTGAAAAAATGGTGATTACTCTCAAGAAAATCAATGTGTGCCTTAGAAACATAACTAGACCTTTTGTCCTCGAGGATTATAGAAGGAGAATGTCAGAATGTGTATAAATGTGATGGATCTGATCCTGGGATGCTCATTGGGACGAAGGCAGAATGGCTGCCTCCTGGTACAACCACTGGGAAAGTGCAGTATTTTCAGGTAGTATAATCACCCTAAATATGTGCCAGTCTAGAATCATTTTGTAAAGACAGAAGTGTGGAAATGCTCTTAGATAGACAGAAATCAGGTTCTGGTACACTCTTCTGATTATTCTGTCACAAAACTTGCCTGCATAGCGACAGCAGATAAATCCCAAAAGGTGTGTTTAAGGAGTCCTTTTAGACAAACCCTTCCATTTGTATGCTGCATTCAGTGACTGTCTGTAAAAAATAACTTGAAAATCTCTTGGTTTTGTTACAACTGGTTTCTGGTGAAACTGAATATACTCAAGAAGAACAAAAAAAAAAATCTGTTCCTCTCTGGTGCTTTAGCATTTGTGCTTGAAACTAAGAGTGTCCAAACAGCTCCAAAAAAAGAAAAGGAAAAAAAAGCAATAAACTTTATGAAATAAACAAAATCGATTCAAGGATGGATTGAAGTTGAGTCAGTGTTTGGTTTATTCAAGGCAACTTGTATCTTTCTTGTGTATATGTATACATTTGCACAAAAGAGATGTGTGTGTATTTATGTGCATACCCTCTCCCCGCTGCACTACTTCATTCTGTCTGCTGTATGACTGTCATACCTTAGCAACTTTCTGCACAGCCTGCCTTGACGTGCTCTGTCAGCGCCCCTTCCCCGAGAGGCAGGTGGCAGATCCCATCTCCAAGCACAGGGACTGCTGTCCCTCGGGAGGCTGACAAAGGCCAACTCTCACCGGTGGCGTGTAAGCCCTTCTCAGCTGTAATTGCAATAAATACTGCTTATGTAAAGCAGGTTGGTGTGCTGCTTCTCTCTGTTCCTCTGTACAACCTTTATCTATGGTGAAAGAGATGCTGGGAAGATAGAGCCAGCTCCTGTGAACCCTGAGGAGCAGGGTCCCCATCCGTGAGGCTTCCTTCTCCCCTCCCGCGCCCCGGTGTGAATCCGAAGTGGCAGCGCTGACATTCAGGTCGTGATCCCAGCACACCGCGACAGTGAGGGAGAGGAGGGCCAGGCTTTTCCCGATTCACCATCTGTCAAGTTCAGCGTTTCTCTGAAAGACACCTCGCCCTGAAGTAAGGAGACGGGACAAGTCCGCAGAGATGGCTGCCAGCGTGAGCGTGAGCATCTCTTGTTTGACGAGCTGCTACGACTTGCACTGGCCGTGCTGACCCTGACCGAGGAGAAGACAGTGAATTAACATCTCCGCTTGTCTTGGTCAAACACCGGGGACTGGTTCCTCTATCGGCATGAACTGATGGGGCTTCACTGCTCACAGCAAAACTCTCCTCTGAATGCCATCTAGTGATGAACAAAGCGCTCACTGAAGGCAGTGAAAATTTTGCTGGGAAAAATCCTGGAGAGATTAGTGAACTTCTAATCTCTACTGTAGTGACAAGTCAGGGCTTCTGCCCTTGTCGTACCGGTTTGTTCATGACAAAAGAAAAACAAGCTTCCTCCCTATATTTGTATCTTTCTGGTAGTTTTATATTTTTCTCTCCCTTTCAGTAAACTTTTTTCCAGGGAAGTTGCACACGAAGGCCTCGATCCCATGCCGGCCCTGTGCCGCCAGCGCTCTGCCCGGACCGCAGTCCTTACCGCCCGTGGGGCGCGGGGGGCACAAACCCCCCGGCGAATTTACTGCGTGGCCGTGGGACTCGCTTGTGGCGGGGTTAACGCCGGCGTGGGGACCGCTACAAATCCTCTGCTGCCGTCTCATGGCCCTTCTATTTATTGTCGTTAATGGCACGCCGCCTTGCTTTCGAAGCGTTGGAAAATGCAAATCCAGCGGGCTGTCATCCTGATCCACTTCATACTACAACATACTCTAAGAGGCCAAAAGGGAAAAATAGAGACATAACCTGCAACTGCATTATATGCAGCTGAATGGACATTTTACTGACATTATCCTGATTGTCAAGTGCCCAGAGGAGCCTGTCACAGTTTGGTTCCTTTTTATCGCTACACAACCAGGAGAGGAGATGCCTCTGAATAAATTCACAAGCCCTTCTGTGGACTCACTTTTAGCAGTCGAAGAACTGCTTTCTGCGATACAGCCGAAGATGACAGAGCAATTCCAAGAAGGAGAAGCAGACAGGCTGCATTTACCACGTAGCATCGTCCTGCATGCCATCATCTCCTATCACCGGTGGCTGCAGATACCACCAGCGGCATCAGCTGGTGCAGTGTTACAGATTGCTTTGAAAGCAATCCAGTACGAGACCTTTAGGTCATCTCCCGCCCTATTTCAGCAATATTTGGCAAACACTCTCTGTCCGCAGAGCCCAAGCAGCTGCACAAACGTCTCTCTTCTCAGGGAATCACACCACGTCTGCAGGTCCCCCCTCGCCCAGCCTGTCACTGGCAGGCAATGGACAATGGCCTTCCCTCCTCTGTAGGCAGAAGGAGGGCCTGACCCCTCCTCTTGGCTCTTTTTCCATGCAGAAGAGTTATCAGAGGCCGTGGGGCTTTGCAGGTGAGTAACTCCCTGCCGTTATTTGGAAGGGTGACTGGAAAGCAGCCACTGGAGAGGGGTCAGTTCCGTTACGGCACCTGTATTTACACACTCCTTTCGAGGGCGGCCAGTGAGAACAGGTGGGCAAGGTGCCGCCCTGCAGTGGTGTAAGGGTAGGACTGGTAGTATGGTACTAGAAACCCGTGGGAGCTAAGGACGAGAAGGACGGTTACATTATCTCTGGTTCCAGATGGGATCCCAACCCACCCTGCACTTCTGTGTTGGCTTTATCAGAGCTCTGCATTTCTTTAAAAGGGCTTTTTTCAACTCTTGACCAGGGAGTGCTCTCTACCTCATCCTGACACATCACTCCTCAGGAGAGAACTGCCTTAGACTTCTCCAAGCCAGGGTTTTCTTCCTTTTTGCAAGAACAAGAACACCAGATAACTTGGAATTAAGACAACTATCAAGGTGAAGGACATCTACATCAGCTGGAGCCGGTGCCACCACACCCTTCTTCATGGCTTGTGGGCACACTTCTACCAGTAAATCGTCTGTTTGGATTGATGAATGACTTCTGAATTGCTGTGAGAATCCGGTGAATGATCTTCGGTTGAAGAATTGTCACCAAAACCTGAGTGCAAATTACAAACTGCAGAATTTTCCAGTTCAAGAAAAAGGGGAAACAAACAGATGTAGATGACCTCTACTTGAGCAAAATGTTCTTTACAGTGCCTTGGGTGAACGCTAGGATGCCAGTGCTGCTGGCCAGCCTTCTGTTGCTGATCTCCTTGCAAATGCTGGGAAAAGGGGTAAACATTGTTCTTTATTTGAAATGCTGCAATTGTCTATCCCACAGAAATAAATAAACATTTTTTTTTCTTTTTCTTTTTTTTTCTTTTTTCATTTGAAACATGTTCTTTAAGGAGCTTTGGGTTCAGTTTTAACTCTTCTGCTTTCAGTTGCTCTGCTCCATTTCTTACCTGTCCTAATTCCTTTTAACTACTTGTTCGGAAATTTCCTCTTGCTTGGAGCCAGGTGGTTTCCCAGGGTACGTCTGTGAGTAGACCTCATGGAATTGTTCCCCTCCTTTTCCAGCCTGTCTTGGCCAAGGCTCTGACAAAATCAATGTGGTGTTGGGTGGGACAGTAACAATATTTCTCTATTTCTTGTGACTGCCTTTTGGCTTTTCCTCAAAGCAATTAAGGTATCATGGAGAAATAAACTGAACCCCTATATAGTCTATGGGCCAGTATAACTTCAGAGGCTATGAAAGGTATCAATTTGGTTATGTGTCTAGGATGAATATTTGAGATGAAGTGACTACATGCTTGTAGAATTCAACTAACTACCAACTGACTATGGTACTTGACTAGTCTACTAGGAGACCAAAAAGCAAAAAGAACAATGCCATAACTCATGCTATTTCTTGGATCTTATTATACAAGGTTTTTATTCATTAGAAATGCTAGAAAAAGATAATTAGCATGTTGTTTCATAGGCAGAATATATCAGAGGTTACTTTGCTGTTATAGCACCCAGTTGTGTAAATCCTTACTCATGTGTTTAACGTTTATTTACATGACGAGTCCAGCTGGCCTCACTGAGACAAACAGGATGGACAAAAGCTTTGGCAGACTGCCGCTATATTGTCCTTTACTGAACATCATTCCCCAGAGCCAAAACATGTCTGAGAGATATGCCAAGACAGGAAGAAGAAATTCACCTCTGGGAATGTTAAGGCTGCCCTGCCCCTAACACGTTGTTTTGCTTATTCTTTCCCTCTTCAAAACCACTTATTAATCATGACCAGAATATTGAAATAAATGGACCGTGGGTCTGTCCTGCAAGCTCTATACCCTCGCCCTGTGAAGGGTCAGGTCTCTTGAAGTTTTTAATGCCACTGACCCACATCAAAGAAGAACTCTGACATCCTGGCTGGCGTTTGCCTGAGGTGGGGCTTGGACAATAACATGGGGTTGCTCAGGAAGGTCTTGTCAAAGACGCTGATCTGCTGTGCTTGCTCTGCCCATAATGACAAAGAGGCAAGGAGAGGATAGGGAAAATCTTGGCTTGCACCCACAGAGGTACACGAAAAGTTCACACTGCTGATGCTGATCTTCATCTGCTTTCATGTTGCAGGCTGTGTCCCACCTCATGATGGATATGGCTCTGCATTCCTTTGATGACCAGTATCTGGGGTGCAGAGAGCAGGTGATGGAAGAACTGGAGCGAGGAGACTATTTCCAAAAAGAAATAGCTGCTAACAAGGACTATTTGAGTCTCTGGAAGAAGGCTCAGGAGGCTTTGTTAAAGAGCCCTGTGGGTCTCCTGAGGGAGATGCATGAGAGCCATGCCGTAGTCCTCATGGCTTACACCATGAACTCTTCCCTGCACTCGCAGCTGAACTGGGCCACATCCACAGCCGGCAGCTCTCCGGAGCACTACAGACACAACTTCAGCTTCAAATATTTTCACTTTTACCTAACGACTGCCATCCAGATAATGAGGCAATGGCAGAGCAGCAAGGAGAGCATGGGGAAACGTAAGTGCTACCGGGTGCACAGGGGTGTAAAAGACTTATATATCGAGGCCATGGTGGGCAGCAGGGTGCGATTTGGCCGTTTCACCTCTACCTCCCGCCTCTGGAACGAAGCCCAGAAGTTTGGGAACGAAACTTTGTTCACAGTGACCACTTGCCTGGGAGCAGCTGTGAAAGGCTTTTCTTACTACACATCTGAGAAGGAAGTTCTCATTCCCCCTTATGAAATATTCCTGGTCAGAAGCTTCTTTCGGACACAGCACGGTAACCGGCTGCATCTGCGTTCTGTGGGGAACTACAGCAAGTACCGCTGCCAGCTCGTGGAAGGTAATGCATACAGCCCTTCAGGCTGGGTCCAGGACAGTCTGGTCTCAAGCACTCCACACAGCCCTCACCACCGGCACCGACACGGGGCCACACTCAAGGCCAAACCTGCAGCTTACTCACTGTGTTCACCTACAAGAGCCACATGGCTCAGTTTTTACCTGTTTACCGTGAAACCTGGGAGCACCTCTGTCGTGAATGAGCGGTTTAGGGTCGCTCAAAGAATCACTATCAGAGCTATTAGCAAAAGTGGCTTTAATATGAATTTGTAAAAGTGTGACTTAACAAGGTTCAATGGCAAGGTTCACTGTATTACTTACTACATGAAAGGGATAATCACAGGAAAAATCAAGTTAGAATCGAGCTAGAATGATTTACACAGAGAAAAGGGGTAAGCGACACCCTTGTGTTGAGTCATGAGGTTCAGAATCACAGAATCACAGAATGGTTTGGTTGGAAGGGACCTTAAAGCCCATCTCGTTCCAACCCCCTGCCATGGGCAGGGACACCTCCCACCAGACCAGGTTGCTCAAAGCCCCATCCAACCTGGCCTTGAACACTTCCAGGGATGGGGCAGCCACAGCTTCTCTGGGCAACCTCTGCCACTGCCTCACCACCCTCACTGGGAAGAATTTCTTCCTCATATCTAATGAACCCTCTTGCTTTCTAAACTCCTTCCAAGAGGAGTCTAGGTGTGGCTGGATCTAGCTCTAGTCTCAGACTTGGTCAACAGTTTATGTCTAAGGGGTACCAGGAGTGGGGTAAATAAACAGCCATGGAAGCTCAAGCAAAACAGCTGCACGTCGCCTGGCCCAGGATGGGAGCTCGACAAAGCAGGCCTCGGTGCATCCCTTATCTGAATCGTAGCTCGAGTAGAACACGGTATCAGTGCTACCGGAATTTTGAGAATTCCAGCAATTACCAACTTGAATTGTGGCCAGAATGGAAGTTTACTAATGACTAAAGTCAATCATCTTGTGAACCTATAAACAGCAGTGAGACCCTTTGAGCTCTCCTAGATCGCAGCAGGCTGCAACCAGCAACTCCCTCGGAGCGGGATGTGTCTCAGAGATCGTGAACTCTCAAGTTTGCGAAGTTCGGAGGATCATTGCTGAAAGCAGACGACGGAGCCTGGGCCCAAACCCCTTCACTCCTCAAGATTCAACCCTCACCCCTTGAGAAATGCCAAGGCATTTGAAGTGAGTATTTCACTGAACTCAAGGGGAATTTTTTTCTTTACAGGTATACCTATCTTTAGATATTTATTCCTTTGTACATCTCTCTCTCCCCCACCTCTCTCTTTTTGGTCTGTGTGCGTGTGTGTGTGAATCAATTCAAATACCCTATAACAACTTAAATCACTGTTATGATTATAGTAAATCCTATACTACTTTGTCAATGCTAAATTAGTCAATGATTAAGTGCTGTTAAATGAAGAAGTGCTGCTAAATGCTACTGCTAAATAACCCACTCCTGGTACCCACTAGACATAAACTGTTGACCAAGTCTGGGACCAGAGGTAGATCCAGCCACACCTAGACTCCTCTCTGAGGAGTTTAGAAAGCAAGGGCTTCTACTCTGAACCTCGTGTCTTAACGGGAGGGTCTCCCGTCCCCCTTCCCCTTTCACCTGTGGTCTCTATGTAAATCACTCTAGCTCGGTTTTAACTTGACCTTTCCCGTGTATATCCCTTTCATGCAGTAAGTAATGGAGTAAACATTGCCATTGAACCTTGTTAAGTCGCACTTTTACAAATTCATATTAAAGCCACTTTTGCTAATAGCTCTGACAGTGATTCTTTGAGCGACCCTAAACCACTCATTCGCAACAACCCCACAGCTCACTAAAGATTAATCCATCTGTCACACAGCAGGTCTCAGGGCTCTTTGCAGCCTCCATTTATCCCATCTGCCACTGCAAGGATGTCATAGGACACATGCATTTGGGTCTCCAGCATTCCTATTGCAAGGGCAGATGAGATTGTCAGGCAGCTTGAATTCAGATATTTGCTCTGGTGGCTTGCAAGGCTGCTACACTTCAGGCCTTGGGACTATTCTGGGCTTTGGTCCACTACTACTCTGGCAAGCTCAGGTAAGTGTAGACAAAACTACTGTTGCTGGAGTGGTGTTCCCTCTCCTGCGACAGAAGGGAGGAAAGGTATCCTTTGGCAAAGCACACGCTGCGAGTTTCCTGGCTATAGAGATAACTCTGTGCTGGAAGACCTCACTGGGCCTGTTCCACACCCTGGTCCTTCTGTGAGTCCAACGCCAATACGGGACTCCTGCTTTTGTCAATGGAACGTTTGAGCACAAAGCAGTCATTCAGGAATGAGAGTTTGTGCCTGGATCTAAGCCAAAGTAGTAGGCAGACTGGAGAAAATGGCTCTTCTGGGCAAAGGCTGTGTTAGCAAGTGCAGGAAGCTTTAGGCAGCCAAAAGAAGTCTAAATGACTGCTCTTGTGACTTTCTTTCAGCTTCAAGAAGCAAGAACAGTGGTTCCACTGCCCTCGCCTCTGACGTTCTTCTTATCGTAGTTGGAGTTTTCATGTGCTTGGCCCACAACGACTGATCCTCTGGCTGCATCCAGATATATGCACTTGAATAGTGGGCAAGAATTCACAGGAGATCAGTCCCTGGGGTTGCTGTTGTTACAGAAGGTTCAACCCTTCCTTTGCTTTCAGCTGCAGCTCTCCAGCCGAGACTGGAACATTCAGCCTGGTTCATCAAGACAGACATTCCCTGGACCCACTCAGGTAGGGGAGCAGTTTATCTATGGCCTTTCTGAAGGGTAGGTCAGTGACATCCTTCACTGTAGGTAGCTTTTCCCTTAGGCATTCAGGAAAGACACAGATGGACTTTGGACTCTTTGCAGATCTCTTAGTACTTTTATTTTCAGTGAGAAAGAGTCTATCTGTGGGATGCAAAAAGCACCATGGTGGTAAAGTCAAGCAGGTAACTGTGGAGCCTTGCCTGTCTCCTATCGCTGAAATGAAGGAGAGCCTGTGGAGCCCACTCCTGTCTTCATGGGTGTTGGATGTGACTGAAATTCACTTACCTGCCTTTCTGCTTCTCTGGTCTGCAGTGTCTAATGCTGGAGGTTGAATCAACATCACAAATTGAACTGGAACTTCTGATTTAGCTGCAGACTCCTCTCACGTCTATTAATTCATTTAGCACTTCTGGAGCCTTAGACACCCAAGGCAGAACAGCTATGAAGTTCTCCCATCTCCAAAAAATAACAGTGTGGAAATTATAAGAAACATTTTCTGCCTGCAATTCCCTTTCCAACATGTCTTCCTTGCTTCTTCACCCCTGATCCATCACCCTCACTGACGCTAGCCCTGGGTTGAGGCTATGGTCACAGAGGTTATCTCAATGGTCCAAGGAGACTAGTCATGGGGATTTAACTTTGCAGTGGAGTCATCAGATGATTGAACTGAAACTCCCTGACACATTTCAGCAATGACCCCAGCTTTGAGGCACTGCTGATCTTGGCAGGGAGCTGGAGTTCTGCATTCACCACCCCCTGTCCGAAATGGTAAGCAACAAGTTAGCTATCCAAAAGAGATATGAATATAAGAGGACTGCACAAGTTGCTGATCGGCTGGTTAGTTAAAAGTAAAGACACCCAAAAGCACCTGCGTGAACTGCTTGACTCTCGGAGCAGCTCTATATAAGTTTGGTGCTGCCATTCCCTTGGAAATCCTCTGGCAAGGAATGCAGAACTCAGGCACATGAGAAATACTAGCATTAGAAACGTAGGCACTTAAGGAATTTGGATGTCTTCAGGTTTTAGCAGATTAAATGGAGGATTCTGAGGCTCAGCATCTTGTGTATCAGATTTAGGTATCTGTAATGGCAGAGGCCATCATCTAATCATCCAAAATCTAGTAACATGTTCTGTGAAACTGAACTACTGGCTCCGAAATCCTGAGACATGCTTGCCCAGGCAGCTAAAGCAGATTTAATACAGAACGATTTTACTATTAGTTTGTTTTCTATCTATATTTCATGTTACTTTCTTTTTGCTCTTGGTTTACCAGTGACTTCAAATAATAAGTTTTCAGAACTTGATTTTGACTTCTAAACGCTCAAAGATACTAAGCCCAGATTCCAAGAAAGAATGAAAAGATCAGGAGAAGCTGCTGCAGATACCTCTTGTACGCTTGTTCAAATGTGCTTAAACTCTTTCCTATGTAAGAATTACCGGAAGCAAGATGTATTTCTGACACATCAGCACATTTATGTCTCTTTCTGCTTATCTGTTATCGCTGGGATGCAGGCTTCCACCATTTTAACAAAGGTTTGGAATCCTTCACAAGGTGGCTTCAGCACCCTGAAAGCCTCCTCTAAGTAGTCAGCTGCTACTTTCAGGCTTTTCTTTACGGATCTGTGTCCTTGAAGGATAGCCTGTAGGAAAACCAGAAGTCTGAGCTGTTGTGACATTCCACTCGAGGAGGAGCTGCCTTCCATGGTACTTGGTGTCTCATTTTGTTGCACCGTCTTCACAATATCGGCATAGTCCATGAGAAGTTCTGATACCTGGAGGGATAAGGCAGGTGAACTCGATAACTGATGAACAGCAGACTCTACTGTGTCAGGAATATTGTCGTGTTGCAACATCATGGCAACAAGTACATCCGTGATGCTTTCTACAACCCCCTTGTAATTCTCATCAAGCTCCTTTACTGCAGTGATCTTGTCCTGCAGAGCGGTGCTGGGACCAGCCATCTTAGCATACAAACTGTGATGCTTTCCTGTACATCTTTGTCTTCTGTTTCCACGGTGGCTTGCATCTCTTTCAAAGCACTGACCAGGAGCTGCAGATTCTTTTTAATGCTCAAGTGTTCCTTTACTGACATGATGGGGAAGTTGGTGCCAAGATGTGCATTGAGGAGTCGGAATATTGTGTTGGTTGAAGAGACAGAGATGTACACCAAGTCATGCAGACTCTGGCAGGCCCTGACCAGCCTTTCTTTATCACTCTTAAAACCAAGGCGGGCTAACATTTCTGGAGAGGGGGTCTGACTCTGAAAAGCAAACAGAGGAAATTCAGAAGACACAGGGGAATAAAGCTGGATATATTTCCAGCTAGAATGTTACATTTCTGAAACCAACATTACAAATTATCAACCCACCTGACCCGCTCTCCCCCAAGACGTTACAGTTGGAAGAAAACACAGACAAAGCTCTTTGTCAGTCTTTGCAGGGCTCTTACCAAGCAGGCCAGCAAAATACGGCGTAAACAGCTGCAAGTGTCCTTACTCTGATGGCTGTAGGAAGTACGACTCTGACCTTCAGCATGCAATCTGACAAGCAATAGAAGTGCTGTGAGTTATTCTTGCCTTTTGGTGTTTATTGGTAAATTTATGGGAGTCCTAGCAAACAATCTACTTTACATCATTCTTAGAACTATAGTCCTTCAGTTTGTATATACCGGTGGGTCTGCACAGAATTAAACTCGTATTCTGAGGCGGGGGGAATAGACGTGGCAAAGTCAAATACATCACACACCTACATTCCATAAGCAAAGCGACTGAAGACTGAGTAACGCAAAGTTTTGTCAGGCTATAATTTCCCATGAAATGACCCATAACTGTCAGTTCATACAGTGGCTAGGTGTTGCAAGCGTCCCTTGACAGACGGAAGCACAAAACATGCTATTAGCTTGGGGTCCCGTCTTGCTACCATTTTGACTACTAAGGAAATCGTCACCTAAGAGTTCTCCCAAGGCCAAGTGCAGGCGCAGTCCTGGGACAGTACACGGCTGAGAGACTGCTCCTGATCCTGCCTTTGCTTGTGCCAGAGCCCTGGAAAGCCAGACTGGTTGCAGCAGACGTGTTTCATCGGCTATCGCTGTGGTGAGAGGTGCAGTTTGATACGCCCAAGCAGTTCCAACTTCCCATCCCACTTCATACTTTTTCAGACTTTTCTCTCAGTGCTCAGCTCAACCCTCTTCTTCTTTCTCCTTTCCCTTCCCATGGCAAAAGTGGTTTGACATTGTGTGAAAAGGTAAAATTGATTTTAGCCTCCGCTGCTGTTCAGCCAGAGCTGGCTCTGGGGCTCCACACCACTTCTTCCACTCTCGTGGCACTGGATCAGAGGACCTGGCAAATTGCAGCAAGAAGGGTGACAGACACTCCAGATGAAGTCCTTCCCTCAAACTGAATAGCTCTGAAACAATAGCTATTATCTTCCCTAAAGACCTGGAGTAAAGCCGGAACAAAACTGCTTGCTTATTGTTTAAATTATTTTGTGTTGTGTTCCAAATGATAGAGACTCCAGAACAGAAGAATTTACATCCACTGCAAACCTTGAGGACCTGAAATCAGTTTCCAGCCTACAGAATGTGACACAGAGGCAGTTGCCAGCCTGATCAATTCAATTCAGTCCAATATTGGAAGAAGTATATCAGGACTATGTGGCATTCTCAGTTAATAACAGGAGTCACAACTAATTGACGATCGCAGAAATGTAATAGTTAAATCATTAGTGTTCTCTGTCAGCTCATCTTCTCATGCCGACAGCTCTGAAATCAGGGCGAGTTTGGTATTCTGGCTCTGGGTTGAATACAATAGCTCAGCTTGCAGGGGAAAACAAGCTGGCAATTGCAGAGCACTCATTTTATGCTTGATCTTTTACTGTCATCTGAGAACTCAACCATTCTCTATTGGGAAGGCAGCATTCATGTCCAGAGACTCGTGGGCAGCAGGTCCAGCTTTCTAAGGATCACAGCATGAAAGTTGTCTAGCTTGGATGAAGACAGAAGTACAAGCTTGTCTTGCCGGCACAGGCAAAGCCTGTTTCCACCGACTAGTATCTATTTTTCTATTTGTGTGGGACTGTTCAACTTTCCTTCCATGATTCGCAGGTGTACAAAACCAGTCATGGCAAAAATTCATTATTTCAAGGAATAGCTGCAAGCATTAGTGTTTATTGTTTACGCATAGAAATTATAGAAATTTATAAATCTCAGTACAAAACCTAATCCTGTATCTGTATGAAGGAAGAGTGCTGTCCTATATGTTTTATGTTCTGAGAACAGCAAGTAACACCATCCCCTTTCAGCCGCGGCTGTAGGTACCTGTGACGGTACCTTTGTCATAGGCAGGGGGATTCATCCTGTACCTGTCCTCTCTGGGAACAGAAGGCCTTTGGAGGATCTAACAATTAGGAACTAGCACCAAATAAACTGAAATCTGTTAAGACTGGAAGGAAGGGGAAAGGAGGAAGAAAAGGAGATGAATCTGGGTAAACAGCCCACAACAGAATTACAGACGAGCAGGCAGGCAACAGGACCCAGCTGAAGGCCGGGCTCTGGATCCCTAACTCATCACATGCTGCTGGAAAGCACCAGAGGAGCACGGGGAAAAGAGGATGTAGTCACGGTCCCGTACACTTCTCAGTACGGGATTGCAGGAGCACTCAGACAAAATCAGGTAGGCAGTCTAAATGTTTAATTAGAAAAGCTTCTGGACAAAATCTCCTTGGAGCTGGAGAAGTAGTCAGAAATATGGAAGTATATGGGGCCTGCCTAACTCTAGAAAGCAAATGTAAAAACCAGCAAAAGTGTTCATGTGGAGAGTAAAAGGTAATTTTAGCATTAAGAGACATAAAATCTCGAGCAGTTATAGGAAGCTGAAATAATCAGACATAAAGAATAGATGCTAAAAGTCTCCTCCGCACCTGTCTAGTAGGTAAAATGTTTGTTAAGTGCTATTCCTCTTAGAATGCTGTCTTCTCCTTTTCTACAAATAAGGAAAACCAAAAGGCCTTTCAGCAAAACTTCACTGGAGTAGGAAGGGTCTAATACCACACAGAGCCAGAGAGCAAGCCAGCAACCTCCCTGAGGCAGGACCGATAGGAAAATATACCTTGCATTGACAGGGCTTTATGTTTCCTGAAAATCACAAACTTTTACTGTATATGTACTTTGCTCCCTCCAGCTTGAAGAAAAAGAAAGATGTGTTAAAGAGTTTATTCCCTTGACAGAGCTACAAGGTAAGTGGCTGAAAGTAATGTTCAGTACTGTGCAAAATATTGTGGAAAAAATTCTCTTCAGACCAGTTTGTAGTTCAACTAAAGTTGAGACTAAAAGTTGGCTCGGGGACTGTTCAAATCCTTCTCTTTTTCTACAGTGATCTTGTGGGGGAGGGCATGTTCAGTGAAATTCAGCTGGGCAGTGTCAGAGGATTTGCAGTTAGCAGGTAACGCGAGAACTACAGAGGGCCAAAATGACACAAAGGTCTCTTTTTAAGAAGAAAAACCTAGCTGCTCCCCTACACATAACTCTTTGCAGCTACAACTGTGATACGTAGGCACCAATGGCAAGAGGAGGTTTACCTTGGAAAAATGCCAAGCACTGCATAAAAGTGGCCCAGGTTTGCAACAAGAGGGCCGAGAACGCAAAAGTACCAACAAAGGAACGAGCCATCCCACTCATTCGTAGTTTGCCCCTGTTGCAAAGTAAGACACACGCATTTAAGTCAAAATCACGCTAAAGCATTTTTACTTTGCAGCTGGTGATGGGTTGAGGGGAAGTGGCACGGAGTTGGTTACAGGAGCTTAGTGATGAGGAGTAACTTCATGATCGCTGGTAACTCAGTCACTTTGGACTCTGTATATTGACATGCAGGTAATGAAGAAAAATGTTTGATGTTCATGAGTCAAAAACCAGTGAAATGAATCCAGTACAGCATTAGGGAGGTGAATAAACAATGAGGGAACAGGGGCTAAATATCAGAGAAGGAAACACAGTGGGAGAGGTGTGTAAGGTGATACAGGTTAGGATAAGTTTATTATAGATAATTGTACTATTCTCTATGAATTCCCAAGTGTGACTTTATTAGTATAAGCACAGAGTGCTTACATAGTAACGTTTTCTTTGAACATGAGGGGAAATAAGCTACACTGGCATAAAACTCCCTCCTGGTGATACAGATTGTGCTCACTCCACCAGTCATCATAGCTGTTTGAAAAGCAGATGCCGTTAACTGAAAAAATAGGCTGATAAAGAGGTGTGTCTAGAAAAGGCCGTTCATTTCCACAGCTTATTTTAGATTTTGCTGATTAGATGAGATTGTTCTGTTTTTTAGTGAACTAGTTCAGCTTCTACCATTTTCAGTTTCCAAGGCGAAGAATGACCCACGTTCATTTTACCAATCTGCTAATTACATATTCATTAGCTATTTCTGTTGCTCTAAGTATGTCCAATGTCTCCTAAGGTCCTTTTGCAATCATTCGGCTAAAGATCCAAGACAAGAATTAAGATTTCTACATTTCCAAGCTATGCCTTGGGATTTGACTTGCTGAGTACAAAAAGAACCAGTGAGGCAGACAAAGGACACTGCACTGCGCTTTAAGGGCTAGGGTTACAGGTGTTGAACGGAGCAAAAGATTTCTTCTCTCTCTTGAAGTAGCCTGTTTCTGAAGAATGGCACTGAGTGACCTCTTCTACCCAGACAACCCCAAGAGAAGGCAAGAACTGATCCATCTGCACCAGGAATTGCTCAATTGCATGTCCGCAAATTTCCGTGCAACAAACGAGCTGGTTGGAGTGCTGAATGAGCACCTGGGCTGTACCATCACCCACATCAGGATGAGAGAGAGCAGCACTGTCAAGGAAAACTGTGACATTATCATTCAAGCGATGAGTGAGATTCAGCATCAGGTACAGAAGATTGATAGTGACATGAAGGAAAAGCTAGAGCCTGTGCTGTACCAGAAGCTATATGACATCAAGGAGCCCGAGTTGGAGAAAATTGCAATAGCCCAGAAAGTTTTTTCCATTATTCTTGGAGAAGCGACTTCAACAGCTGGGATGGTAGCTATCAAACTTCTTAGCTCCAGTCTTATAACTCTTACTGTGAGCAAGCTCATCAGTCTCCTCATGCAGATTGGGGCATCTGTCCTGGGCGGAATCAGCATCACCATTCTCGGGCTTGGCATTGAAATGATCCTCCATGCCATCCTGGGAGCCGTGGAGAGGAATCAGCTTCTGGGAGCTGTGAGAAGCTACGAGAAGCACCTGGCTGAGTTTAAAGCAGCCTCAGAAAAGTACCAGCGTGCCATACGTGAAGTGATGTCTTTGGTGAGAGAGCAGGCTCAGTGAACTGGAGGTGGAGTTCTCCCTCCTGCTGGGACAGCGGCTGCAGCAGCCACGCCTGCAGGAACCTTTTTGATTCATTATGGTAAATGAACTACTGGTGGCTTTTTTTCTTATTAGTGGCCGCAGAGCAAGAGATGTGACAGACCAGGGAATTGGCACTGAAACATATTAATAGGGAACTGGTTTACAGGTGCTTCTGGGAGGCAACGCTTCAAATACCTTGCGCCTTTCCTTCAGCTCTTTTCTGGAATGCATTGTAGATAACCTTGAACTGCAATTCCTAATATTGACAATAATATTCACTGCTGGAGCAGCAGCGATGAGAAGGTGTGATTTTTCTCTTACTGTGTTTCTATATCAAAGATGACAACATGATGGGAAAAAACAATTTCAACAAGCCCGTCCATGTCATCGTCTGGAGGGCTCATCAGGATGGCTGTGGTTGCTAAACTCCTGGTGTGGATTAGTGCTAAATCCGATCGGCTGAATTCCCTGTTCATTGAACTGCTTACGAGGACTAGCTGAAGCATATTTAACCGCTGTTTCCTGTCCCATCCCTGCCTAAGGAGCCAGCCAGAGATCTTCTTTAAATAAACTCTAATCCCAGTAGATTAGCAGGTAAAAGAAGCACGGGCCTACAGGCAAACACATACAGCCTTGCCCCCCAACCGAGAGAAACCGGCGGCAGCGTTCGGGCATGCCCGGTGCTGAATAACCTCTTGTGCTCAGTAACGCCCGCTCCTGCCAGCCCACAGGTAAATATTTCTGTCCGCAGTAGCTGCTCTGTTGACTGAAATGGGATTATACACACGTACAGGTGTCTGTAGGATTACAGCCCTTTAATGTGCTAAATTTATTTTCACGTGCTTTACCCAGTCCCACCAATGTCGGACTGCCCAGAGCGTGCTCAGATTCTACATTTCACAATATGATGCCAAATATCCTTATTTTTCTGATTTTAAAACCAAAGCTGGAAACAAGAACACGATTTGCAGTCTCTTGCTCTGATTTGCTGTGGTTTGCGTTCCTTGCTTTGACTTTTGAAAAAAAAAAATTAATTTAAGAATTAATAAAAATGTACCAGAATATCGTAAGATCTCTTTTTCCTCTACTTGTTTTGTTTCGTTTCATTTTTTCTGTCTGAAAAATCAATCTTAAACCAAATAACGAAAAAAGATTAAAATCTTCATTATAGATGCAATTTAGAAATTCTTTTTTATATCCACAATAGACTAATCTAGTAGGATTGTGTATAGGTTCCTTTTCTAGTACCAGCTTCCTCCTCACTAAAAGAATACTGAAATTCATACTTGTTTATTAATACTCAATATTAGCAATATTGGGTGATTATATTAATAACTAGATTGTGTCTGCAAAAGTAAAGAGATGGGTGAGATTACAACAGGGAAGCTCTGTTGGCTTCATAACCCTTCCATTCTGGGGTTTGGTGTTTTGTTATTTTTTTTCCTACTGTTCCCACTTTTAATCACCTTTTCTGACTGCTCTTTGCTTTTGTGTTCAAAAGCCACTCGATGGCAATGCAGTCTCTGGCTCGCTCGCTGTCAAGCAGCTCTGACAGCCATTGGGGAGAAAGCCCAGGGTTCAGGAGCACGGATGGGTGCCAGGGACTGACAAACTGGGACCAGCACAAGCTGCAGACTGGGTGATGTGGGTCAGGAGAGGCAAAAAGCACTGCTTTGTCTCACATGAGGTATTGTGGTGGGTGACGTGGTAACGTGAAGCATCATCGCTCCAAGGTGTGACATCTCCCATCTCCTAACACAAGCAGCGCCCAGTTTAGAGGTACTTGTTCAGAGGCAAGGGACTGTCAATCAGGAGAACAGCAATATCTGAGTGTTGGAGAGGCAGGAGGTCCTGGCTTCTGCTGACCCTCTGTGTGCAAATGTGCATTCCAATTTAGGAAGAAAACCCACTGGCTCAGTACCTATCTTTGTTAGAGTGCCAATCGCTGCTGTACGAGAATAGTGGAGTCAAATAAAACCAAATCTGTTGTACTTTTCAGGCAGCTTGTCCACATTTTCTTGAAAGCAAATTCTAAGCAGTGTCAAGGGCAGTGGGATATGCAATGGTACACAGACATACGATTTCAGTTCACCTCTTGATAGATCCTTGTTCCTGGTGGGCTTAAAGGAAAGCCGGCTTGCCTGCCACGGCAGGTGTGGAAGGTGTCCTCATGCCCACGAGATGCTGGAAGATGTTGACGATGTTGGAGGCTGGCGGGCGGCAGCCTGTCCCTCTGCTTATGCGGTCGGAGGCTGTGAGCTCACGGGGGCCGGGCCAGCATCCCCAGCCAGCTAGGAGGGGTATGGCAACATCCAGCCGTAACAAGGTGGTTTTGAGGTAAAAAACCTGCTGATCAGCTTGGGACCTTCCCAAGCTCTGTCCCCTGACTCTAGCAATAAGAAAATCAATGGGATTTACTGGCATTACCGCAGTTATATACTTGAACTGAGTGCAGCACACATTTAACCGGCTAGATGCAAGGCAGAGCACCCAGCGGAGCAGAAACAGCTTAGCTCTGCTTCTGCTTGGTAACTGAAACTGTCCCACAAAATAATTCCTGCTCTCTCTAGCCCTCTGGCCAGTGTTACACTTGGTCAAAGATGTCACAACCAGTCTGGGGTTACCCAGGCTGCTGATGCTTCTCCTCTAGACTCCCTGGAGCTGCCTCTTGGTGTGACAGAAGTACCAAGTGAAAAACGGGAGAGGACTGTTGTCCTCCAAGTCAGCAGACACTGCTGGGTGAAAGTCGTTAGGGCTGAGGCAGCACCACCGTCCCCACGGAGCCCATCAGTGTCATGACAGAAGACCCCAAGTCCTGGAAGGAGCGGCTGATCTTCAAAGCCTCAGCTGTCCCCCTCTCCAGTGACACGGTGCATGACAGGGATGTGCGTGGCCCCAGCGTTCCCATCGCACCCCCTCAAGCATTCCCCCTCTGCTCAGTCTGTTGTACTGGACAAAGGATTAAGATTTAAAATGGTGTAATATGCATGCTCCAAATAAGAACAGCCCCAAAGAAGAACAGAAGCTGTAAACCAGCCAAAACCGGTCTGAGCTGCTTTCAAACCTGCGTAGAATCACTGGATGGTTGCAACCACAATCTGCCCGGCAGCAAATTCTTTCGGTAACAAGAACAACAGAAAAGAACAGGCCAAAGAGACACAAGGAGGGGATGGCTCTGCCGTGTGCATGGTTGTGCTCCTGCACTGGCCATCTGCTCACTTGGATTTTGTGCGGTTTGCGACTAATGTTGGTATTAACGTGGTGCGCAGCTTATAGTCTTGCTTTTACCTACCCTGCCATGATCCTTCATAAAGTTCCAAGTTTGCCAACCAAGTCTCCATTATTTGAAAAACTGTGACAACATTGTGTCGCACGGCACGCTCACCCAGAGCAGGGGGTCTACAAACCCTGCTCAGCGACCAGACCACCTCTGCTCCCAAGTGCATCTGTGCACAGAAAAACGTCCTCCCTCCACCTCCCTCCAGCATGTTAACTCTTTAAGCCTGCACCCATACTTTGTTGCTTGCCCCCTCCTTATTCACAGTGATGCAACTGGCATCCAAAGAGTAGTTTCGTCTCTCTTTATCCTGGTTCTTCATGCGTCTGGGGACTTTTGCTGGGAGAGGCACTCGGGGCAAAGGGGCAGGACGGAGTTCACCTGCCGGTGACAAGGGTGCGAGCCGGACTGCCCCTGCCTCTGCAAAGCCGATCGCGGTTACCACTGGGAGGGCTGCCGGGAAAGGCAAGCAACAGAGCAGCTTCTGAGGCCCCTCCTGGGACCAAACGAGCCCCCCTGCTCAGCTGCCCCGTGCCGGACATCCC